AATGTGTTTTGTTAGAATTACGTCAACTACTTCTGCATCTGAAGCTATAACTACTTCTGCAACTACAATTATGTCCACAATAACACCAATGCTCCGTGGTGAAGTGGCAGTGAAAAGGATTCATGAATGGAACGATGTGACTCAAAGCGCAGAATATGGTAAGCGTTTGCAAGACATTCTCGTTCGCATCCATATGAGATCTCCAGGTGTTCCATTGATGACTGATCGTGGAGACGATGAATTTGATGATACTGACGAAGACATAGATCAGGCAGTGTCGGTGGAGCCTGTTGAGCCCAAGAGAATCGCGCCAGAAGTTGGTAGTACCACATTACTTCCACGTCTGAACATCGACTGGTCGCGAGAAACCCTCATTTTGATATACAGCTTACTCTTCGCTATCGCTACATTTTCGTTGATGTGTATACTGATCTGTTATATATGGTGTAGGAAAAGAAGACAATCACATGATTTTAAAACAGATTATTAATCAGTCATATAGATATCCTCCTATTCGTCTTCCATTCTGGCACAACTGCATTTTCATAATGCATTCAAGATAATTGGCTGAATATCTTTTTCCACCTGTTCTCCCACGCACTGCCATGCGAGGGGTGCTCAGTCGTTGCCTCGCTCTATCCATATCTCCGCAATCTAGTCAAAAAGAGCTAAAGAACACTCGCTTATTCGTAATTCGATATCGGGTATGATCACAAGCATAGCGAAATTTGTGAACGATTTTATTTTTCTACATGTAGTATGCTCAATATTTGATATTTGTGTATATAACGTCAAATTTCAAAATAAATCGTCCTTCGATTGTGAAGGGGATGTTTTGTGGAAATTACTCATATGCACACAAAGTTAGTCTTCTCGCCTTTGCCATTTCTATGCACTGTCGGATATTCCACCCACAGCGTTCAAGCATTCTGCTTAAGCAAGGTTTTTATCTATGACAAGTTATCGCAACTTGCCAGTAAATTTGTCTGCGTCCCTTTATTCTATCCCTTAGCCTTTCATATGACATCATCTAGCCTTATAATGTAGCCCTCCTCTCCTGCACAGTGAACATAATTTTCCTCTCTTTGAATGTGGCTCACTTTCCCTCACTCAAATTTGCGCAACATAGATCTTAATGTGTGTTGCAAAATCGCCATCCGTCACGACCCCTGCGTGCATTCCTCTTCAGTCCTCTTAGCCTGCTGAAGAAAAAAACCATAACACGCACGTGTATTACAATTTTTAAAGCTTGCTGTGCTTGGTGTTCATCTTGTGCAGTGATCGAAGCTATAAGATCACGTTTGGCTATACTACGACCAAAAAAGGGCAGGGAAAGCAATGTACATGTAGTTCCTCCACTGTGCCTTCTGTCCCTGAAGCTTACCCAAAGCTTCCTTCCTCTCCAGTTCGGTGGCGCCCAATCCCATGTAGAATGTTAACTTGTGGAGATTTGTGGCGCCCTCCTCTACCTCCGTGCGCCCAGACCCGAGAACATCGACTCCAAATCTTATATATAAAGCTGAATGTTTGTTTGTCTGTATGT